ACACTCAAAAACATGCCCATAGAACATGTTTGATTTCATTTTAAATATATATGCACAATCTAGATTTTCAAAATAAATTCAGACAACAAAAAGTGCTCATGAGCCACAATATTATATTTTTATTACCCCTATGTCACCAGCAAAGATTTGTGATACAAAGACAAATCTTCGCTATAAGAACCATTGGTAAAAAGTTCTAAAACACTATCAGTGCTATACCCTAGTTTTTCTTTTGAAACTGTATGGTTAACCCACGTTTTCTGCACAGAAATAAATAAACACTGACTCAGTGAACAAAATACTGAGATTTGGACAAATTTTAGGTTGTATTAGTGTTGAGCAGCCTTTAAACTTAAAATCAAGCAAATTTATTAGCAAAATTTTTTTTATTTGTAAGTTTTGTTTATCTTGAAGATGACAGTGCCATATGATCATATCCCACTTTCTGTTTTTCTATAAGACATTGTTATTATCAGCCACATAGACATTGTTGGTGTGGTATTGCCCCCCCCCCTCCCACAAAGAAAAAAAATCATCGTAAAGCAATACAATGTCAATTGCCAACTAACATCGTCTGCTAAGAACTTTATAATTTCTGTCTGTGTAGACATTTAAATCTTACATATCATACTGGTGTTCCTGATGGAAAACATAACAGTGCAAAAGCATGCTTACCTGTTTCGACTTCAATCTGTTTTCCATTATCATCAGCCCAGTAACCGTAAGGTTCGAAATAAGTACGCTTGTGGTTGTAAAACGAGGACTTTCCCATCTATCTAAAACAGTGGCCGCATTCATATAAGCGTTGTTTTGACAGTAGTTCTGACATGCTAATTTCGACGTGCTTCAGCAATACTAACTAAATTATAATAATGCTTGAAACTTCGCAGACAACGGAAAAGTGATTCAAATACAGTATGGTATATTTTATGGGACAATAATCGTGAAACAAGAATAACTTTTGTCATTGTCAAGTGTGACAAGACACATTGTTGACCTCACTGGCATAGAAAGGCCCTCTAGACCGGCCTGTATTCTTACTTAAGTCGAGGTAAACTTGATGTCTTCAGCTGTTATTGAAACAAATGCACATCAAGGATTGAAAATTAATTTTTATATGCGATATTTGCATATTGTGGATTTACAAACACTTAAAAAAAAAGAATTAGGCACACGTTTTAATGATACAGCTAGGTAGTCACAACAGCGCCACCATACGACAACCTTTCGTGTACACAAACTACAGTCTATGTTTGTCATTCGCTGGTTCCCGGCGTCCTTTGCGAATGGCAGGTAGGACGCAGGTAACTAGTAATCGCCATATTGTTCCATTTGGGCCGGTTTTCCGGCCGGAAGGAACGCGACTGGGTGACGTAATTTGAAAACATTCCAAGTTGCGTTTTGCGTAAACGTGTCTGTAATGCTACAATAAAGCCATGCTCATACATACTGCCTGCTTAGATTTACAGATTTGATATGTTCTGTGCTAATTTATAACAAAAGAAACAATTCTTTTTATTCGCCCAACTTTCGAAAGCAAAAGGAAACCCCTGAACGGCCACGAGCGTAAGCGCTGACGTCAGGTAACTAAGGGAAATGGAACAAGCAACTAGAAAGTGATGTACCCAATCAGAATGCCGGAACCGTTGCTAGTTACCGGCCTCTTGTGGCTTGGTACGCCATGACACTTGAGGCGGGAACCAGCCAATGTTTGTCATTGCATCCGTGCTGACATGAACAGTCTTCTTCAACTTTACACCCAAAGTTCAACATCCTAACATGAATTCAAGAAGACGTCTAAATGCTAATGAAGCATTCAACAACATTGTGGAAGAAAACGCTTCATCAAGTTTTGCCGAATCTGATTTCAATAGTAGTACTCCGTTTTACCCGGCTAGTTGAGTTCAGCCATCATGGTTCAGCCTCAGGAGCCTCATGCTCAACATCCACTCTATACCTAGATAGATGCACAGACAACCCAGCCACCAAGATGGTCAACGTCAAGACAGCCACCCTCATCATCCACTTTATTCGACCTAAATGCACAGACAACCCAGCCACCAAGATGGTCAACGCCAAGACAGCCACTTCAACAACAGAATTCAAATACTGTGGGGTATGCACAAGATAGTCAGACTGCAGGTAATTGTTCAGTTTTATATGTGAGTTAATTTCGATCAATCGCATTTGCACCTTTCTAGTTATTTGTGGCGCCGATCCTGGATCTAAGATTAAATATATAACGTTTAATTTTTCCTACAGTGTTGGTGTATTTATCTGATATATTTGCTATGTTAGTAGCCTTTCCTATATTTCGTTTATGTATGGGCATAGACACTCAAAGCATTGTTTTGTCAGCATATCCTGTGTACCATATGTTGTGGATCCTTGATTAAAAGTCAAGTACACAATAGTTTCAAACAATAGGCTTCTTCACAGGATGTACTCTCTCTTTTGTTTAGAACTTTAACACACATTAACAAATTTGCGTATATGCTTCTTTACAGACTTTCAATTTATATATGAGAATTTTAATTCTCTCCAGGAAACTTGCAGCAACATGTCATCACAGCAAGAAGATTTGAAAGACTGCATATTGTCTAGATTAAAAAATCTGGAAAAAAAAGTTGAAGATTCTATACTACAACAACGGCAGCAACGGCAACAACAATGTCAGACACAGTCAACAAAAAAAACAAAAAATTAGAACACCATCAGAGCTTTCGGTAAGTGTTGCTTAAACATTTACACATGCTACAAACCAATCCGATGCTGTATTGAATTATTTCGCAAATATGTGTAGTTTAATGAAAGACGTGGGGAGAATTGGGGTTTGTGAAACAGATTTAGAAATTAAAATGAATATTTATTTAAGCTCTGCATGACACTGATTTGTCAATTTCATTTACCTTTAAGATTTAGTATAACCATAGACCCTTTTAGAGGATCTATGGTATAACCAACTGCTGTAATTGATCTTGTTTTCTGTGTATTTTTTATAGATGAGAATCAAGCAATTATGTGCACATAATCAGAGTTTGGCATTTGATGTTATTGCTGGGTGAGTTCACAAACATAATATTTTAGTCTGTAACATGCCATACATATAAACACAAACTGAAAAGAAACAGTTGTGAACCACTGTGTGTGATTAAAACCCCAAAAGGGCAACCAAATTAAGAAATATTAATTTTTTTTTATGTAAAACTTTGTAGCAATACTGTTTGATCGATAATTTTGCATACATGTGCAATTAAAGAAGTTGACAAGATGACTCAACGGGTTCATGTGTATCATATTATGTTCGTCCATGTACTTTATAATAAATTATTATAGGGTCTATGGTTTGTCATCGTTAGGTAATTTTATCTTTTTTATCAGCATTAGTTTATTCAGTTTTTGTTTTTTGTTTATAGTTGGAATGCTGAACACAACAGACAGATAAGAGAAAAGATTATGGACCAATTAAGATTAAAGTTTGACGACAAATATTCAGAAAATGAGTATCAATGTAAGTAAAAATTTAATTATCAGTTACTGCTTTGCTTATTGTTGACAATTATACCTGTAACTCAAGAAGTGAACCATATGGTTATTGCTTTGTGGTTTTCATTGATGTTCCAACAGTTGATTCCTATCGGGAACACTTTATTCATATTAATTATTCGTTATTGATTCGTTTAATCTTCACTTTGAGTCACAGTACTGTTGTATTTCTTTGACATTACATGTATCCCTATGGCAAACTAACACAACCTTGACTGTTTCATGCAAATCCTGTCTTCTATTGTGATACCCAACCACAATTTCATGTGTTTCAATGTGCTATCAAAGAGACATGACTTGTTTGAATTTTTGATGAATTTTAATGAGTTATGAAGTAACTTTAATATATTACTATTGAAGAATACTATTCAACTCATTCTATATTAGTTGCATTGTAGTACTGTTGCTTTATCAATTTCTTTCTAGTCGCTATACGAAGAGCTTATGAAAATAAGAGGATACATGCTAGAGAAGGACAAAACCCAGCATTAAAGAACAAAAATAAGATGGCGAAGCATCTAAACACACTACGCTGGCAGGTATGTTGTGATAAATTATAAATATATTGTTAGAATATACAATAAATTTGTGTACTCCAACACTCAATAATTTATCACATTAATTTATTGTGATTTAACTATTTCACCATAATCAGCAGTTATATATTTGTTTTCATGTAATAATAACATTTTGCCGATTATCGGTAATACAATTACAATTGTATTTTTGTTGACTACTTGACACTTTACTATAAGTTGTAATTGTTACATTAGTATTTATGTCATCGAATGTTTTCTTACAGACAATGCAGAGACGCATGAGTCTTAGAGAATGAAGAGGAGAGAGCCATGTGGAAAGAAGTGGACCCTGAATTGATGTCCGGTGAAGAGAACCAGGAGGATGGCTCTCTCCTCAAATCACCAAGATGGAGAGCTGCTCCAAAAAATGAGCTCATCTGTTCACTAGATCGTCGTCTTCATGACAAAGGCATAATGAAAAGATTGGTTAAAAAAAGACTCCGCTCAACAGTGTTTACAGAAAGGCAAAAACCAGCAAAAAAATATCCAACCAGCTGTGTGTGATAATTTGTTTTTTGAGAAATGGGGTTTCCTCATGTGTTTAATTTTGATAGTGTCGCTTTTTAACTATATGTGGGGGAGTGTTTTCATTTTTTTTACATTTGAGACACTGACATGTTACCATTTACAAGTTTTAATGGATGTTTCACATTTATTTATTATTTTCATTGGGGGGGCATTATTTTATAGTATTTACATTCGAGGGACGTGTTATGCTATCATTTACAAGTTTAAAGGATTTTTCATATTTACGGGGGGGGTGGTAATTTTTCACATTTAATTTTTACATAAGGAAGGGGGTCGAGTTTTTTTATTTCTTATTGTATTTACATGTGTGGGAGGATTGTATGTTATTATTTACAAGTTTTAAGAAATTCTTTCACATTTATTGTTATTTTTTGAGGGGGGGATTCACACACATTCAATTTTGATAGAGGGGTGGGGTCTTATTTATTAACATTTATGGAGTATTTTTTGCAAAGGTTTCAAACATTTATGTGTTTACACGTTTTCATTGTTTTGTGATGAGTACTAATAAATCATAATGTATTTTCTATATTAAGGTATATATAGATTTGTGTGTGTGTGCTGAATGTATGCATCTATGTACGAGACTGCTGGCCACTGTTCCCATGAGTTACAAGGAATAACCCCACTATCATTGCTCCAGCTAATAATTTTAAATGACTGTATCTGGATTCTGTTTTCTTCATAAAGTTCTCTAAAGAAGATAACAATGTCCTCACCATTCTTACTTCAGAATGCATGCGCCAATCATGTGGGCATATGAATACCTTTCACAGAATTCTTTGTGTAAAAACTAAACTGAGGGTTCAGCACCTCTGTGGAATACGCCCATGGTTCAAATATCTTTTTCCAGAAACCATGAATGAAGTAGCCCTCTATGAAAGTGATACAGCAGCTACCATTACTACATCAACCAATATTTTATATAAATGCTTCCCTGTATTTTTGTAATTTCACGAAAATACAGATCTTGAATTTGGTTGTATTTATACAAATCAATGTGAATGCATTCCATGTATTTTTGTGATTCCACGAAAATACAATGTTTGAATTAAGCTGGTTTTGTATAAATGCATGGAAATACAAATCTTGAATTTGGTTATATTTATGCGTATCAATGTGAATGCATTCCATGTATTTTTGTGATTCCACGAAAATACAGCGTTTGAATTAAGCTGGTTTTGTATAAATGCACGAAAATACAGATCTCGAATTGGGTTGTATGTATACAAATCAATGTGAATGCATTCCATGTATTAAGCTGCTCAAGTATGAATCCAGGAAGATAAGTCCCTGTATTAATCTGTATCTGAACACTAAATTAATACATGAATAATAGACTTCCTGTATCAACATTTATTCACAGAAAATACACACTGATGCAGGTAAAGACAGGAATGCATTTACTGTGAATGCAGTCAATAAAGGAA